CTTTTGGGAAACGCACCCCAGGTTGTGTTTAATTAGGATTAGAGCTAAACTCTGCAGGGCAGGGGCTCTCAACGGAGTTGGACTGACCACCACAAGATAATGAACACTTGGTGATTCCATGTCCTTTCAACAAGGTGATGACCCTCAATTTGAGGACCCTCCTCTTGCAATTACTGCAGAAGAGTCAGGCAAAATGCTAGCAAACATCTTTGCGACTGTTGTATTTGGTCAAGGCCGGATTTATCAGAAATACTTTTATTCTACTGGACTTAAAACCCATGACATCCTTGAAATTTCTTGAGCGCTGCCTGCAATAACAGTAAAGGCACAAGAGATTTAATAGAGGTACATTGTTATTCTCAGGGAGATCTTTACTGCCATTGTCAGCTTGTTGTTGCTCACCGGTATCTAGACCTTAAGCTTTTTAAATGATTGTTAAATGTGCTTTACACAAAGTTGCAATTGAATTGAACATCGCTGCAAGGCTTTTGTGATCATACTCGGCATTTCTGTCAATGCACTTGAATCCCCCTGGAATTTCACATTAGTCATCCATTTGCCATCAGGTAGCTGGCAGGCAGCTATGGAAACAAGTAGCAGGTGCCTCACAATTTGCAGGATCCCTCTGTGTAACACATCAAATTTTAGTAATGACCAGCGAGTGTTCCACTCTCACAATTAGGGGAGCATAGCTGGCGTACAGCCCAGAGCCGACCCATGAGACCCTAGAGTCCAGAGCCCAGCAGTGTTGTGGTACAAGTCTGCTACTGCAAACTGCATGACCCGCTCTCTACAGAATGTCCGCTCTGCCCTCCAAAACATCTGTCTGCTCTGCCCGAATATCATTGAAGCCGAGAAAGACACACCAATCTGACCCTGGTCTGAAATTGCACCTTAAGAGTTTTAATCGCCTTTTTCCAGTGCTTTTGGGTATAGTTGTCTTCTTTTAAATGAGGTATTGTATTTTAGATTTGCCACCGTAACACATTGTTTTTAAGGTCACTGTGTCCCATATATTGCGTAAATGCGTTTTGAGTAGGTTTTTTAATTCTATAGGGGCTTTTGCGCCAGAGGAACTTTTTCATACAGTAGTTCCTAGAACTACTGTCGGAAGTTCTCGCTTTTTGACATGTTCGCACCGTAGGAACTAGGAATGGTTTTAGTTCTAGGAGCTCCGTTTGGGGGAACTAAATTGGCTCCTACTTCAGAGTAGGGTCTAAAACAGTTCTATAGGAACTACCTGTGACGTACGTGTATGTTGATTGGCCAAAAGCATGCGAAACACAGACTACCCGGCATTTCTTAGCTTTTCAAAAAGCCGTGTAAAAATATTTACTCCACGAACATGGAAAACAGCGATAACGGCATTTAGCTACCTGGTTTCTGCAGTGTTTGGCTCTTTTCTCAGCCTTGGTGATATGCAAGACTGCAAGTTTTCATAGGAGAATTTCATGCTCTTTCAATCACATAAATTGTGCGTTTACATTCCATCTCCGTTATCAAGAAACCCATGACACACAACAGAAACAACTCCGATCACTGCGTTCTCCATTCACCGGTTGTTGATCTTTGTAAATGCCACGAATAAAGACGTTACTATCAGCCGCTTCAGAGTTCCCGCTGACAGTGCGAATGCAAACAGGAAAATGGCCCGAGGGAGAAATTGGTTCTTTAGGAACCACCCTGCGGGCTAGCTCCTAGAACTAAGTTTGTAGAACTATGCGGTGCAAAAGCGCCTTATCCTAAACTCTGAGCATGAACTTTTTTGATCAGCTTTTAGCTCCAATGGTTTCTTAGTAACATACTGTGGAAATACCCATATGCGAATAGATTGTTTATGTATGGGGGAAAACATCAGAAACATGGAGAATTATATACTTGGCTGAAATGTACACCAGAATTCTGGAACAGATTTGGTTCATCGCATTTTGGGTACTTCAAACCCATTGAAGCTGTACAGCAATGAGTGATGACACTGAGAAAAAGCACACCGGCTTTTGTTTAACTTTTCATGTGCTAACAGTTAGAAAGCTTAAAGGTTTAGTTTTTCTTGGCCTTGGTTTTACTTTGATAACCCGCTGTTCATTTACACTAATTCCTAAGCTCTCTGATGTGTTTTAAGCAATTAAAGTTATTTGAGTGAGAACACATTGTTGAGAATATTGGGTAACACTTTAGCTTTGGGACCAATTCTCACTATTAACTAGTTGCTTATTAACATGCCTATTATTATCATATTGTCTGTTCATTAGTACTTATAAAGCACATTTTCTGCATGACCATATTCTGCATCCCTAATCCTACCCAATACCTAAACTTAACAACTAAAGTACCTTATTAACTATTAATAAGCAGCAAATTAGGAGTTTATTGAGGCAAAAGCCATAGTTAATGGTTTGTTAATGGTGAGAAGTGAACCTTAACATAAAGTGTGACCGAATATTGTAACTAGTTTCTACTACAGAGCCACAGATTTCTGTGCTCTTATACAGTATGTACTGGGGCAGCAAAATCAATGCAGGCAAAGCCGAAAGAATCAATAACCTGATCATGAAGGCCGATTCAAGCTCCTGAACAACACCTTCCATCTACTCCATGGGGCTGTTATTGTACATGTTTAGCAACAGGTTTCCATGTACAGTGGAAGAGTTTTTGAGGTTTTTCCTCAAGCTGCTGTCAACTCTATTTGAACCGAGGCTTTAGCCATTATATCTGTTTGTCTTGTGCCCTAAGTCCTTTTCTTCCAATAAATCACCTGCCATGTATGTATGGATATACAAATAAACCCTGGACCAGTGGATGGGAAAAGTAATGGCATGGCAATATAAGTAGTTTATTACATAATGGGTTCTCTTTTAATCTACTTCCTACATCTGGACAGATTTACCGTAGATTAGGATGATGCCGTCAACACACAATGTCTGAAAACAACATGTTACAGCACGGACAGAGTCAACTTATCTGATAATTGTCTTGCCTAGACTCATACAGTAGGGATGAAAGATGACTTGACAGATCTAAACATCAATGAAGCTTAATGGAAAGTTCTGGAGTTGCCACCTCCCTCATTTTGCAAAAAAGAAAGAAAGAAATATTTATTTTCCTTGTGGTGTTCCCATTTGACTAGAATTACACCAGGGTGAAGTCAAATGCTTTTGGTGTTAACCAGAAACCTGAAGTTTACTGGAATATTCTTGAGTTCACAGTATTGCTGGGTTTTTACGTTTTTTCCCCATGTGGTCTTCCCATGTTCCTAAAGTTGCCAGGATGAAGTCACACCCCTTCCATCTTAAAGGGACAGTTCACCCAAAAATACATTTTCTGCCATCATTTACTCACCCCCATGTTGTTAGAAACTTGTATGACTTTCTTTCTTCTGTTGAATACAAAAGAAGATATTTTGAAGAATGTTAGTAACAAAACAGTTGATGGTGGCCATTGACTTGTATACTATTTTTTTTTTTTTCAAGAGTATGAAAGTCAATGCAACCAGCAACTTTTTGGAACCATATGAGGGTGAGTACATGATGACAGAAATTTCGGTAACACTTTAGTTTTGGAACCAATTATCACTATTAACTAGTTGCTTATTAGCGTATTTTTAAAGTGAAGTGACATGTGGCCAAGTATGGTGACCCATACTTGGAATTAGTGCTCTGCATTTATCCCATCCAAAGTGCACATACGCAGCAGTGAACACACACACACACCGTGAACACACACCCGGAGCAGTGGGCAGCCATTTTTTTGCTGCGGCGCCCGGGGAGCAGTTGGGGGTTCGGTGCCTTGCTCAAGGGCACCTCAGTCGTGGTATTGAAGGTGGGAGAGAGCGCTGTACATTCACTCCCCCCACCTACAATCCCTGCCGGTACGAGACTCGAACCCGCAACCTTTGGGTTACGAGTCCGACTCTCTAACCATTAGGCCACGACTTTAGAGCACTTAATCCTACACCCACACCTAAACATAAAAAAACTACCTTACTAACTATTAATAAGCAGCAAATTATGAGTTTATTAAGGCAAATGTTATTGTTTATAGTCTGTTAGTATCCCCAAACTAAGATAATTTTTGAGTGTACCATTCCTTTAATCACAATTGCCCAAATCATTATTAAAGGTCATTGGAACGTTTGTGAAGTGTTAATTAGGTTTCCTTCTTGAAAAACAGTGAAAGTTCCTAATTACAGTGTTGACAGTAAAATATAATTTGCCCTTTTCTATGAATTTGATGTCCTGTCCAACACATCCTTGTGTTTATAGATGTATAATATGTATTTCTGAATGGTTTTGTGTCAGTAAGGCTAATTGTTCTTCTATGGGACATCACTCACATCATGAGTTGAGTGAAACAGATGTGGCGAACAATACAATGTGAAGGCTCTACAGCTTCCCAAAATCAATCAGTCTGGTTCATGGAAACTCTCTCTTTTGCTTCATTTGTTCTGCTTTTCTTTGTTATTCTTTGCTCATGTTTATTCTCTCCTGTGCTTATCGTTTTATATGTACGGAATAGATAACGTTGCATACTCTGTGATCTAGAGGCATATGCATGATCTCTACCTGCAAATTATCTGTTAGCAGAGACGGTGCTCTTAAAAGCAGTGCACGTTCAGCACCTGGTTTCCTATGTAGGTCTTTCTCAGCATCTGTTAGATATTACCAGGGTAATGACTGGTAGTTTTGTTCAAAGTCCTTCTCAATCTACAGTCCTACACGACAGCTTAGGTCATAGAAAACTAAACCATAAACACATTTTGTTCTTATAAAGGGCTTTTATTGTTTCAGTTTTAGGGGAACATTCGTCTGTTTGTCTTTATTTCATGGCTGTGGTGTGTTCTGCTGGCAATCAGGCCTTGAAAGAGTGTCGATACAGACAAGGGGGTTTATCTATTCTTCTATCTATATAAATATATATTCTATATAAAACTTTATTTTGAGGAAATACACTCCATACTTGATTGCTGTGTTATTAAAACATGGTTGTGTTTATTTTTGCAGAATGCTTGAGGATGACCTGAAAATCAGCAGTGATGAAGAGGACAATGAACAGGTAACTGATGCTTTCAGACAGATGCAGCTTTGGACAGTCTGAACTGTCTGAATATAGCTTGTTGAATTCCAGGACAGAATATTGTTTGAGGTTGCTTCACAGTCCCATCCTGAGCAAACGCTGGATTATCAATATAGTGAGCTTCCGTGTTTATATATATCATTAGAGTGGGAGACAGTGTGTGCTCATGTGTAATGATATACTGCACATGCAGCCGTGTCTGTATACACACATAAGTATCAATGGAACCATTGCAAAAAAAAAAAAAAAGCTTTATTTTTTGTGGTAACTGAGCATGTCAAAGGCAATGTTTTAAATATGGAGATTTCCTTTTGCCTTGTTCATTTTTAAAAGACTAAAGAAAATGACCGAATAGTTAATTTTTCATAAAACAATGTCAAAGATCATTTATTAGAAGTTGATTGGGGTCACAGATTTTGAACAACTCAATAAAAATACATGCTCAGACAGTGTCCTTGAATACTTGAATATAATACAACAAATATTGTTAATTATGTTTCACCTTACTTTTTAATAATAATTTAATAGTGATACTTTTCAATGTCTTTTCTCAACCTTCAGATTGAAAAAGATAGTTGTAAATGGATGTGCAAAAAGACATAGTTTGTTATGGATCACTAGGTAATGGGGTTTGAGCTGTTTGGGTCCAACAAGCGAAGCAACTTTTCATTAAATGTGTAAAATCCTGGTTAATTAAAAGGATTATCTCACAAATGAACCGAGCGCTGCAGGGATGCTTCTAAAGCAATACCACCGCACAAAATACTACTACTACACATTATACATATAAACAAAATTCAAATTAAAATAAAATAAAATAACATTTCACCTTAAAACTGGCCTGTTTTTCACCTAAATTGAAATAAAAATGCTCGTCAAGCCCTGCGAGTAGCTCATCATACAGTTGTAACATACAATTTTGATGTTACAGGTTGATGATTTTTCATTGCTTTAGATCATTCAGACTACCGTACTGGCCCGAATATAAGACGACCCTGATTATAAGACGACCCCCCCTTTTTCCAGATGTACCTTTTGGAAAAAGGCTTTTTAAAAACCAAATCTTGTTTTTTCTCAGTAAAACACATTTTGTCTTCAATTATTTTCATATTGCATATTTTTTTCTATTTTAATTTTTGTTTTGAAAGTATGGTAAAAACTGGTAAAATGTACCAACAATCACATTAAAAAAAATATACACTTTTTGGGTACTGTCTTACGTTTTAAAATCACGAAGGGAGTTTGGTCCCATCAGGCTAACCTGACAGTCATGACTCATGCAGCTGTAAGGTTTTCTTTCTCTTTTGTTTTTACTCGCGATATTTACAACACGCATTACATTACGTATTTCATGGCACACTCGTTTTATGCGTATTTGGCGCCACCTATTGTTGTGGGTGTATTATTGACATGTCAAAGTCTAGACCCTGAATATAAGACGACCGCGTTTTTTCAGATGTATTTCCAAGAAAAAAATATCGTCTTATATTCGGGACAATACGGTACATTGATGTTTTTGTTTCGCTGTAAAAAATTACTGCAATTTTCCATTGTGAACTTAATTTTTAAGGTCTGACTAGCACACACTGATCATGTTTGAAATGGCTTTGGTCCTGTGTTGATTTCAACAGGCGCTGTGCCAAACCACTCTGTCACACTGGCTTTTTGGGAAAGCTAATGTGATCTGAATCAGAACTGAACCCCCCAAAAATCCCTCCTTTCTCTGTTTCTCACATACAGTACATAACCCTTAAAGCAAGTGGCCAAATACACTCATGATGGAGGCGACCTGGCATTCGTAAGAGTTCACTAGCACGTGTGCTCATGTGTATGCGAGCGTTCGTATGTCCCTGGCCGCGTGTGGGTTTACCTACACACACCACCGCCAGCAACAACGGCCCCTAACCTTGTTGCCTAGCAACATCCATCTGCGAGCAGCCTGGAATGAGCCCAAATTCCCCACAGAGAGGGAAACAGCAATAAGAGGGCCTGTGACAGATGATCTGAGTTGTTTCATCTAATACACTGTGAAGATCACTGGCTCCCTCCCTGAATGATAAATGGACTGTACACAGATCAATGGCCGCAGCATTAAACCCAAAACCTGCCCAGGTAGCGGTAGCCCAGCGCTGTGTTCATCTGTAGTGCCGGATATCTCAATATATCCCTATTTACCTTGAGAGATTTGATTCTGAAAGTAGCGCTTATGTGCCAGTAAAGCACTCTATGATGCATTTACTAAAGCCAGAAGGAGTCACTGTGACAAACGTACAGCTCAGACCTAAAAAAAAAACAAAACTGTGCGCTATATTGGAACGTGCAGATTAGCTCAGGAAATGAATCTCAATGAGTGAAGAGATTGTTTTTTGTATTAGGCTAGGGCACTTTGTGTTAGGATTTCTCTGACAGGTGTTACATAATATAAGTTTTCCAAGTCAAATGAAATTGTAATTCATAATCGAAGCTTCTTTTTTTATTATTTTAGCAGAAATCTGCTGAACGTTAATTCATCAACAGTTGTGCTATTTCAAGTTTAAATGACAATTCACTAACAAATACTATAAAAATAGTTTTGTTTTGTTTTGTTTGATATGTAAAATTGAAAAACTGCTGGAAAATACTGTTGAACCTTTTTAAAAAATATAGTATTTATTTTATTTATTTATTTATTTATTTATGTGTTTGTTTGTTTATTTATTTGTTTGTTTTATTGTTTTTGTTTTATTGCTTTGTTGTTGTTTTTTATTGTTTTTGTTTGTTTGTTTTATTTTGTTTTGTTTGTAACATGTAAATATGAACAAACAATTACTGATCTTTTTTTAATTAAATGTGTTTGGTGCCATGGAAATACTATGGACAAAAAAATACCATGTTTTTTTTTTTTTTTCATGTAGCATGAAATACTGTTGATAAATATTGTGGACCTTTTAAAAAATAATTTACAAAGGGTTTTTTTATATTTTTATTTATATATTTATTTATTTATTGTGATTGTTTGTTTTTGTTTTATTGTTGTTTTCTTTTGTACCATGTAAATATGAAAAAACAATACAAACAATTACTGGACTTTTAAAACATATATATGTTTTGTTTTGCTTCCTTTTGTTTGACATGTAGCATGTTGACAAATACTGTGCAGCTTTTTTAAATTAAAGTATTGTGTATATATATATATATATATATATATATACAGTCTATTGTATAGTAGTTAAATATCAGAATACCATGGGGCTTTGATCTATACCTGGGAATTTAACTTTCTGTACGTATTCATATATTATACTAACCCATTATATACCACAAGTATATCTCCAAAATAATACCAGTACCAAATACCAATACTATAATACATTAATGTGTATTTAAAGTAACAGTAAAGCAACAAACAGAAACATTTGAACATCCATTGCAATCCTAATTGGTACTAAAACAGACTTTTTAATAACTTTATATCCATGTTTTCATGAGATCCATCCATATATGCTCTTGAATTTCATTTTATATATGGGTTGTCAGAGGTAATAATAGTTAATTGACTGTATTTGTTTCACTGCTGCTTTGAAAGCCCTAGGAAACACTACAGATGCTTGTGAGCAACATGAATTACTGAACACTGCTGTGAACACAAGAAATCACAGGAATTTACAAATGCTTTGCCTGAGTAGAATCTCCATCCTAGAAAATCAATATAGATTTCCTCAAGCAACACTGATCTACTGTTTCTGGTCATGCTTAACTGTTCTCTCTAAGTATTCCACTCTCACATAAACATAGAGCAAGTGAGTCCATAAGGGGAAACCAGCAAACACCCAAAAATTGTGATCTGCCTATTTTGCTGTGTTTGGATGTTTTCTACTGTCTCTATCTTTCTCTGCACGGTATCGACCTTTAATCTGATGGACTGTTGTCTTATTCACAGGCGGCTGAGAAGCCCAAGCCCAGGAGCGCTCCTCTCAAGTAAGTGACTAATCAAGTCCAATTCATTTCTTATTCTCTGCTGCTGTTTTTTTTTATTTTTGTTGATTTTGTTTATCTTACTTTTACCTATGTTAAATCTTAAAGCTTAATCCAATATTAATTTATTAATTTATTATCATTAATTAACTTAATTTTTTATGTGTCACTCTATATTATGCATATTATATTATCTATATTATCACTCTTATTTGCTCAGAAATACACTACAGGTCAAACTTTTGGAATAATTAGGTGTTTTATGTTTTTTGAGAGAGGTCTCTTATGTTTATGCTCAAAGCTGCATTTATTTGATCAAAACTTAGAGAAAAAATGGTTTGAAATATTGTTAAAATTTTAAATGCATATATATATATATATATATATATATATATTTAATTTATTCCAGGAATTCAAAGCTGAATTTTCAGCATTACTACTCCAGACAGAAATCATTCTAATATGCTGATTTGGTGGTTAATTATGATTAATTATTATTGGTACTCAATTACTAGTAATGAAAACTGTTTTTGCTGCTTAATATTTTATTTTATTTTATTTTACATTTTTTAAGGAAACACTGATGAATAGAACATTCAAAAGAACCACATTTATTTGAATTATAAATGTTTTGTAATATTAGAAATGTCTTTACTGTCTACTTTTACTCAAATTAATGTTTTTACTATTAGCAGGGGGAAAAAGACGTTAGAGAAATGTTCTTGCACCCAATTAGTATGTCAGCATATTCAAAGCATTATATTATATATTACGTGTTTGAATTTGCTGATATATCAAACCTTTGTCTGGTAGTGTATTCCAAATTATGTGTGTTTATTTTATTTAATGTAGTCTGTTTCGTATAATGCCTTATGCCTGTTCATTTGTTGGCTTCCAAAAGCCCAGTGCTGTTTGAAATGTAGATCTTCTAATTATTTTGATTCCCATCTTCTCCCGGGATCACATCCGTCCACTATCTTTAGTCAAGGACACGCTTCCATAGCGTTACAGTGCTCCTGCATTTATTTCCATCAGCATTTTATCTGTAGTGGTGGTCCTGATGGCTTGGGATTGGGAACAGGAGGTGCAAATGGGGCCTCATTAAGGAGACAGCGAGAAAGCATGGCCTCCAGCCGTGTTCCCGCAGTGGGAATCTGGGACTGCTGGAGCTGGAAGCGTTTGTGGGTGTGGGGTTGAGAGCCAAAGGCTCCAGGCTCTGAGTGAGGGGCAGAGGTTTGTCCCAGCTGCTGATAGTGAGGTGAGCGGAGCGGGGGATTGTGGGTGGTGGTTTAGCATGGTTACAGTAATGGTGGTTAAGAGCACTGAGTGGATTTGTTCAGGAAGTTTTAAATGTTAGTATTATGTGCTTTTATGCTTTTGTTATATTCTTCTATTGTTATTAAACAGCGGTACCAAAGATGTAATAAAATGTTCAATAAACACTTACATTTATTATTTATTATTCATTATACATAGTTATATTCAGTGTTGGCAAGGTTACTTTGGAAATGTCATAGGTTACAGATTACAAGTTACCCTATTTAAAATGTAATAAGTAGTGTAACTATTTCAATTACTTTATTAATGTAACTAATTACATTTGATTACTTTTTGATTACCTTTCTAAATTTCTAACAGTGTTTTCGGCTGATGATTCGACTAATTATTTTAAACAATTTAAGGCAGGGTTAACCTGACAGTAGTACTAAATCCTTCTTCACTTGAATTGTGATTATAATCATTTTAAAGCACAGTCAGCACAAAATCACACTTTAGTACCCATTTTTACTTTGAGATCACTCTGAGGTTAAATACAGATTTAAAGAGGTCATATGATGCGATTTCAAGTTTTCCTTTCTCTTTGGAGTGTTACAAGCTCTTGGTGCATAAAGAAGATCTGTAAAGTTGCAAAGACTAAAGTCTCAAATCCAAAGAGATATTCTTTATAAAAGTTAAGAGTCAGCCACGCCCCCCTAAAACGGCTCATTCTAACACTCCCCCACATATCTAGGCCACTATGTGGAAATATTAGCATAATGCCACCCAAATGTGCACGCAAAGAAAGAAGGCGTGGTTTCAGGAACCGCAGTAGTGTTGATGCAGCCATGTCAGGGAGACGCTGTGTGTTTCAGTATGAAAGCAAAAGCACTTTATTTGGCCTTCCGGAAGTAGATGCAATTAGGAATCATTGGTTAAGATTTATTTACAACAGAACAGCACAACCCAGATGTTCGAATTTGTGCAACGCATTTTATGGACGACAGTGAACCTAGAAGAGTACAAGGCTGGATGTGCAAAAAGGCTATTTCTAAAAAAAAAAACAAAAAGGGTCAATTCCGACTTTGCTATGACAATCTGGCACTTCTGAATGCGGAGTTTTGCGCAGTTCAGAGTAACGCGTTGTGTGTGTGTGTGTGCACAAAATAATGATCTTTAAAATAGCATCATATGACCCCTTTAAAATCGTAACAAGAAATCGTTTAATAGCTATGATACTGTTTTTGAAATCAAATCTTTGCATAGCTATGACAGGAAACACTGGCATCTTAACAATGGCTTGGAAATAAACAATTTAATAATTTTATTTTTAAATCTTAATTTAATTCTTAAAAAAGAAAGCATATACATAAAACCAAAAAGGAAATAAAACCGTTATCGAATAAGCATGTGTCCTAAACTCCTGAAACATTGGTGTCTCATATTTTAGAGCAGTCAATGCAATTTGGGAAATAAATCAAATAAATCCGTATGTGTGTGAAATTATTCAGATGGAGCCCCCTTTGTAATCGTTAACATTTTCATAAGTAACTGTAATTAATTACATGTTTTTCTCAGTAACTGTAATTGATTACAGTTACATTTATTTTGTAATTCAATTACATAAATCTGTTACAAGTAACTAGTTACTCCCCAACACTGGTGTAGTTATATAGTTAGTTTTTAAAAAAAATTTTTTTTTTTTTTTAATGTTCTTTAAAAAAATGTGAGTGGTGTTTTCGCTATGATTTATTTTTTAAGGTGTGTTTGTTTTTGTTTTTGTTTGTTTTGTTTTTTTGTTTCTTGTTTGGTTTCAAGTGATTGGTTCCTAACTCATGAGCTCTGTTTGTTTGTTGTTGTTGTTGTTGTTGTTGTTGTTTTTTATCATTTAATCTTTTTTGTTGTTGTTTTTATTAAAAACACAATTTTGTATTAAACATTAAATTATATTATTGTTTAATCAGTTATTTGTTTTAATTTATGTTTTTTTTTATTCAGTGTATTTTGTATATATATAAAATGATTAAAAGATTATATTATGTATATACATTTTAAAATAGTATAGTACCAGTGATTCTAGATTATATTTTACAATAGAATGTTACAAAAGATTTATATTTCATATTTTTTTTCTATTCATCACAGAATTCTGAAAAATGTCACAAGTCAAAAATTTTATTCGCCACAACTGTTTGCAACATTTATTGTAATAAGGAATGTTTCTTGAGCAGCAAATTCTTGCATATTAGAATGATTTATGAAAATGAAAATAAAAATAAATTAATAATAATAATAATGAAAATTTTGCTTTGCCATTACAGGAATAAATTACATTTTTTAAATATATATTCAAATTTGAAACAGTCAATTTATTGTTAATAATAATAATAATGTCATTATTTTAATAATGTTTCACAATATTCATATTTTACAGCATTTTTAATCAAATAAATGCAGCTTTGGCAAGCATAAAAAATTATTTAACACCATTTACCATCCCTAAACTTTTGAACGGTAGTGTGTTTATATTATTAACTTCTTAAAGTCTTGTGCACAAATCATTGCATGACTAGCACTCGCGTTGGAACAGCCTGTTGTACTTTAATTATCATGGAACTGAGACATTTGTGAGACGTCTGCCAGGACCTGTGATGTTCCTGTAGGTTTGCCCCAGTTTCAGCAGCCACACTCCTAACAATGAAATATGCCCATTAAAACATCCCCTACAGTTCAGCCCTGGGCTCTGTAGCGCAGCAAACTACCTGCATGACTGCCTGCCTGGCTTTCACGCGGCCCTGAGACTGCTGCTCCCTCGAGCTGAAGGCCTGGAAGCAAGAGCTAATCCAGAAGCAGGCACTCTGTGCATCAAATCAGAGCCAGACAGACTGTGAGAATTACTGGTCATTCTGTGTGTGTAATTATTTCCTCGGCCACATCTCACTCTTGGAGTCTTTCCCACTGGAGACTCTTGCTGACAGTCACACCTTGCAATTGTTATGTCATCAAAAGTGGTGCGCGACACGCCACAAGTGTTATAAAAACAAAGTCTGCTTGAACATGACACTTACAGCATGATACATACTTCAAAATATATTACAAGGCAGCATAAATGTCTGTATGGCTGTGTAATGTGGCACTTGGCTCTTGGTTCACATGCTTTCCTTGGCTCTTACTGTTTCTTGTTCTTATGTTGAGTGTAAACACATTTTAAAATTAACATGCAATCAAAATCAACCTAATTTACTCGCAAAAAACACGATCCTAGTCTTACTGGTCATGACTCATGATCAGCAGTGCACATCATTTCAAAACAGTGTTATTTTAATACTATTTATGGATTGTAGTAGTTATCGATATTTTGAATAAGATTGTATAGGTTTTAATTTAAGTTTTACTAATTGTTTTATGTGCTTTTGTCATTCGTTCATTCATTTATTAACTTTCATTTATGTTTATTTTTGGCAACATGGCAATATTTCCAATTTTCATTTAAGATTTTTAAGTTGAAGCTTTTTATCGGTAACACTTTAAAATAAGGTCCCATTAGTTAACGTTAGTAAATGCATTAACCAGCACAATAAGAAACACATTTGTTACGATATTTATTAATTTCTGTTAATGTTAGTAATAAACGTACAACTAGTTAATGTCCAGTTAATTCATGTTAAGTTAAATACATTAAATAATTTTAACAGATAAAACTTTTAATTTAATAATGTATTAGAAATTATTATTAAATAAGATTT